TCTGCTCTCACCCCACCATGGCCTGGTAACGCTTTCCTCTCAGCCTCCCTCAGCTGTCTAACACGCCTGCCTGCAACTGTGGGCTTCAAATGTAGAGGCTGGGCAGAGTTCATTTGCCAACCCAGGGATTTCTTCACAGAAACCTTCTGGCCTATAAATGCTACTTAATTAACTGAAGATCTCCATTCTCTCTTTCTTTACTGAGCAATAAAAGTCTCTGATGACACTTTTCTCATTGTCTTTGCAGCTTTTTATAACTCGTACTTATTCCTCCATGGTTGTGAAGTTCTTTTCAGCAAAAATCAACCCCTCTGTAAGAGAAAATTCATTTCTTCATTCTTTTTTATTCTAGTTCCCCTCTGTACCTACCTTCGCTTCCCCTAGAGCAGTATTACCTCAGAACGATAACAACAAAAGCAGTAAGAACAAAAATTAACTGAGTTTTTCTATTTACTTTCACCTTAAGGATTCAAATAGTCTCATACAGTTTTTTTGTGTAGTATATTTGCTAAACAATGGAAAAATCTCATATCACATTTAATTTTTTAGAGGTAATAAATGAACACTTATGGTCACCATCAATCCTTAATAACAGTCTGAAAGAGTCATGTCTCAACTTCATTGTTTACATAAACCTATCAGTGAAAACATTTTTAAGTACCTGTCCCACTACATATATTTTTTACTTAAAAATTAATATATAATTAATATGAACTATTATAATTACTATATTTAACTGAAAATTTTTAAAGGAAGAAATTTAAATTTATTAGTTTTTATGTATTTTTTCACTTTAAACTTTCTAGTATTTTCATTTTATATTCTCAGGGAGTATGTATAATTATACCTTGTTGACCAGCAGTCTGAAAGGCTGAAAGTATATAAATTTCATCACATGGTTTAACCACTGTGAACAATTTTTCCCTATTAAAGTCTACTTTTCAAATTCTTGAAGCTCTCAACAAGGTAAATTCTTAAAGCTATCATTCACTAACTCCTGAATTAGAAGGCCAAAATATAATTGCGTGAGGCAACTACACTAATTTTTAAAAAAGTGACAAGACTTGAGTCTAATCATAATAAAAGTCTGTGTGCAATTTTTTTGTTTGCATGTCTTTCTCTAATAGACAAGAAGAATAATTTTCACATAAGAAAGTTGATGTAAAAGATGCAGAGTAAAATGCAGTCAATGTCTTATTAATTTTGATCATTTTATATACCATGTGGTTACATTACCTATAACTGTATTCAAATGAATGTATTTGGAAACCATCAAACAGCTTAAAAGACTAAAAGTCAAGCATCTTTTTCTCTAACAGAAACATGGAGAGAAAAAACTGTACATCTCATTATTCTTCCATTAAACAATTTAATAAAACAGTTATTAACATCTTCACAAGTGCCAACACTGCACTAGGCACTGGTCTTTAGAAAATTTGATAGAAAGGAACTTCAAGATTAAGGTCAAACATCCAAATGTTTAAACACTACTTGAATCTTCTCTACAGCAGCACCACCAAGTGGCCATTTGTGTGACTTGTGTGAAAACACCTTCAGCAATATGGATGTATCAGAAAGTAGAATGCATTTTCTGATACATCTGACTCTTTGAAATAAACAAATTGAACCAACCATTATCTAATAATAACCTTATCTCCTAGCCCTACTTTTATTCTCTACTAGAACAAACCTAATCAGTCTTCTACATAACAGCCTTTCAAATATTTTAAAGGAACTACTATAAATCTCAACTCTTCTCTTCATCCTAAATACACAATTTTAACTTAGCTATTTAATCATGTAGAGTTAAAAAAAAAATTCTCATAACAACTTCCAAGAAGGAACACAAACGTAAGAGCTTAATTCTTACAGTCACAAAGGAGAATAATTTGCAAAATTACACATACTCGTTATAAACTTTAAAGCAACAATTTAAATTGCTTTAATATTACTGAATGTCTTAAATTTATTTATTTATAGATAAATATATGAGAGTTCATTAATATTAGCAAAGATTTGTTTTACATTTTTAAAATATTTTCAAGGTATTAAATAACTTTGACAGGCAGACAGAGAACAGACTGGTGAACACAGAAGGAAAAGGTGAGGATGGGATGATTAGAGAGGGTAGCACTGAACTGCACACATTACCATATGCAAAACAGAGCGCTAGTGGGAAGTTGCCACGTGACATATGGAGCTCAACCTGGTGCTCTGTGACAACCTGGGGCGGTGCGGGGCGGGGGTGGGAGGTTCAAGAGAGAGGGGATATATGTATGCTTACGCCTGATTCATGCTGCTATATGGCAGACAGCAACACAACACTGTAAAGCAGTCATCCCCCAATTTTAAAAAAGGCAAAAAAGGAAACTGTAAAGCACGTAAACTGAAAAATAAATATCTTTGACAAACAGCAGTTGCATTTTTTTTAACTGGAGCACAAATGACCAATTTAGAAAATTTATATAAACCATTCTTCTACCCTTTTGCTAAAAATGATTTACAACACTAATCCTAATGCTATTTTACTACAGTATCAATCAACTGGATTATATTTACATTTAAATGTTTTCTCAGTGAAGGCAGAAGTTAGTGTACAGTCTGATACTCATCTTCAGCACAGCCAGTTTCATAATGAATTTCCTATCAACAAGATAAATAATACCAGTACTAGACAAAGAAATGCCAATTTCAATTTACCTAATTCATAGTTACTATTTCTCAATATTGAGTATTTCAGAAGCTGAAAAAACTGAAAAGATAATTTAAATAACTTGCCAATATCACATACTATTAATAGGGCATAATATTAAGATTTATTTTATCCTGAAAGAGCAAAGAGAAAATTCAATGCTGCTTTATATTTTGGTCTACTCAACAGTTACTTTAATACTAAGTAAGCTTCAATGAATTTTCCTAAATGGTCAAGCCATTAAATAAAATGACAATGCATTCACAAGAATTATGTTCTGTTTTTATTAACCAACTGTGAGCAAAAATAGAAGTTAGAGATAACAATAAATCAATTTTGAAAATCTGCATATTAAAAATAGACAATATTAGTTCATTTATAAGAAATGCAATCTTTACTGAGCCTACCAGCATTTGTTTCCTGGGGTACCTGAACTTCTTGGGTAACTCCCATCAAGTTACTTACTCTCTGGTTCGGATTTCAGCTTTACTAACATTCGTCTGTAAGGTGTTCCACATAATTGAATCTTCTAAATAATTTATAATATATCCCATTATGCAACAAAATTTACAATTTTAACCATTTCATAGGCCTTTGTCTAAAATTCAGTCACAGTATGCACATGAACAGTACTGCACAACGGTACTGCGGGGCTTGGATCTCCTGTCTCCTCACCCCTGCTGGCTGTCACTTACTGACGACTGTGTTCCCGAAGCTTCTGGTGCTGAGGTGAGAACCTGAGAGTGTCTATCAAGGCTCCTGAGCATTAAAAACTGGGCTTTGTGGTATCTGGCTACTGAGTTATTTTTCTCTCCTTCTTTGCCTCCATTGCCAATTTTCAAATGACTGAAGTTACCATTAAAAAAAAAAAAGTCACAGCAAAACAGGCTGTTGGCACCAGAAAGGGAATTCTGAAGAGAGCTCCAGGTGCCGGAACAAGGGAGCAGAACTCCCCTTAGACAGCGGCACTAGCTAATTTGTACAATGGGATCTCCATTCCTTTTTCCCTGGGAACAAGAATCAACCTGCCCATTCTGAACTTTTCCATCCCTTATATGGCATTTGTCTCTCCACAGATAATCTAGTAACAGTCTCTACACCACCTGCTCATTAAATGCAAAAACAGAAACAAAGGCAGAAACAACAGCAGTGTTGTCAAAATACACACAGAATACAAGAGTTAAATGCTTATGACTACATTATATGAAAATGATGTGTGCTTAGCATGTAATTATACACGACAAACATAAATAAAACTATGAATCTGAGTTTATGCTTGTGGGGAGGCTAAAAAGAAGCAAGAATATACTGAGAAGAAGTAAGAAAACAAAGATATAATTTTGTCTGGCTATTGAAGAAGTTAACATAACAGGACTTCTGAAAAGCACTGGAATTCTCAAAATCATCAGAAAAATATATACACGCCAGAATACATAAGTTAGAATTATAGAAAACTTAGATTTTGTTCTCTCTACATGCGAACTGAAGGAATCACAAAATTAACCAACTTTTCCCCCCTTTCTTAATTAAGTGTTGATAACACAGGCCACAGCTTAAAAGAATAAATTCTGCCTGAATAAACTGATGACCTATATCTCTCTACCAAGGAAATTCTTATGACTCAAAGTTTCAGAGAAACTATTCTAAGCCATCAAAGATTAGCTGCCTATGAAATAAACAACATAACCCTTTTGGCCGCAACAGACTCTCATGGCTCTGAAGTAATTTTATCAGGAAAATGGAAAAATGTGAGGTAGTCTTAGAGGAACTAATAAAAATTTATTTTTACATTCAATTTTCCCTACCAGGCATGAGGAAAAAACAAACAAAAAGACATCTAATAGATTAGCCCTACTGATCTACCTGGCTTGAATAAGTAACAAATACCACTTTACTAGTGCTACAAAAGTTACCTGATTTGTAGAAAACAATATATAAGAAAGTAAACAACAACAAAACATCAAGAAAAAAAAACAGAAAAAATAACCCTATACACCTTTTTTCCTTCACATAAAACCCACAGTTATCCAGTCAACATATCTACAGTATCCTGCAGCTAAGACTATATAATAGATTATTGAATTAAAACTTTTCAAAATGATACCTTGCTGGTGGCATTTGTACCCACATATTACTAAGGCAGAACCACTCCAATACCTGAAGGAGTCATGAAACAAAAGATGTATTCCTTACTCTTGACCTCAGATCAAATAAATTATTTTCTTTCCCTATTTATAAAATGAGGGAAAACTAAAAGACTATGAAAATTTATTATTGGTAAAATGCTTATAATTTTCAGGCAAATGTTTCAGAAAAAGTCAAGTATGTGATCCCTACCTTGTTTTGATTCCAAACCTTCAGGTTGCTTGTTCTCTCTCAGGGATGAAGTAGAATCTACACAGCTGTCTTGTCTGAGGAATGAAAAGCAAATAAAAACAACTTTTTAAACAATATTCAAGGTCCTAGAATTAAGTTATACACTTGAAAAGACACAATGAATCCTTCTCAGTCCCCAGGGTACCATTCAGTACACTCTGGAGACAGAAACATGTATGTAAGTGTCAGAAGTAGCAGCTACAAACTACTACAATTTAAGTAGTATACTTCTTTGTAAAATCAAAGAGCAAACCTGGAAAGAATACCAAGGTAATTTTTTCTCCTTTCCAATACTCTGCAGGGTAGCTAATGGGAGAAATCCTAACTCACAGAAGAATCCAGTAATTTTTCAAGTTCAACTGTTAAATTTAATGGGCACTTTGGCATTCAAATCATTTTACAGTCATCTAATTTCATACCTCAAATGCTTCGATGTTTACAATATGTGGGAAATACATATTTTATCTGTAATATACATATGTTATCAAAGTAAACTGATTATGTTTAAGATGCCACTAAAAAGTCCCTGATCCACTATGTTCTGCAAAAGAGCTCAACTAATACTTTTTCTTAGTACTGTACCATCTTTATACTGATGTTACAAATACTTTTCAGAAAGTCAAGAAATTAACTATTATGAATACTCAAAATGACTATTTAAAATATGTGTCTATCACCTTCTGAGAATGTTTATACACACTCTAAGACGAACAAACTAAAAACATCTAGGAAAGTTACCTATTCACAAAACTTTATATTCACTTAATAATAAATTCCTCAAATAACTAAAGGATAAAGATGTGATTATTTCCTTGAGAAGTTTACAATTTTCTTTCCAGCCAACACATTTGGCTCTTTCAAGTTTGTTTTGTATTGAAATTTTACTAATACAAGTACAAACTCAAATAGAGATTATAAAAATATTTTAATCTGGTGTTAATTGTGACATTTTAGAAATTTAATACTGAGATATCTCAATTTTTTAAATTTCTTTTAGTCTAATGTTGATTTTATTCTTTCACCAGAATGACTAGCAGATCCCAAAGAGGGTATCAACAAGACTCCCTGGCAGTCTAGGGAAAGATTAAATGCCAATACACTACATTAAAAGCTTTGCAAAAATAAAGTTAAAATATGCCATCTCAAGCCTTATGTCAAATTAGATTTTATCTGCTGGGAACCTTATTTCTAAGTATATTCCTTTAGAGAAAATGCTTGTTTGCTCTTAAAATTAAATGGCATTTATTTCTCTTCTAAACACATAAACCTAATTTTTAAAAAATGACTTGAATAAAAACATAAAGTAACATCACCATTAAAAGGATCTTAGGTATACACAAGACCTTAATAGACAGAACATGACTCATGTAAAATTACAGCTGAGAATGTATAACCTGTATAATGAGGAATCATCAGACAAAGGCAAAATGGGAATGAGTAATATTCTATTAAAAGTGGGGAGGGAAGTTCAAGTCAATGTTATAAAAAACAAAGATAGGCTGTGGAAACATTCCAGGTTAAAGGAAGCTGAAGAGTAGTGACAATTACAAAATGGCTATACTACCCAAAGCAATCTATAGATTCAATGCAATCCCTATCAAACTACCAACGGTATTTTTCACAGAACTAGAACAAATAATTTCACAATTTGTATGGAAATACAAAAAACCTCGAATAGCCAAAG